CATCATTTTGTGTTTCGCACATGAACAGAACGTCTCCGGTCTGTGATGTTTCCCAGTTTTCAATTTTAAACAATTATGCCAAAACGAACCAGTTACTGCATAGTAGAAGGAACAGTTCCACTCTGAACATGTCCATCCATGTTGCATGCTGATCTCCTGGTCGACATCTGCAGCGTCTGGCCTCCCACACGAGAAGCTCATTGACTGGAGTAAATGGCTTATGCTCAACCAGAATATCTAACAAGGCCAATCTCCTCTTCTTAAATTCCCCTCTACGAAGGTCACCTGTCCCCGGAAGAGAACAGAGTCATTCCTTACGTGGTCCTGACATTTAGCTCGCATTATGTGAAGAACCCAACGCACCTGTATGCAGTTCCTGGAACAACAATGACTTGTCGGAGGCAAGGAAGAAACGGAGTTTAATGAGGGACAGTTTTTCTCAGAAATAGAAGTAAAATCGATCGTTTTGTTTAACGTTTATTGGATGCTGCCGTCGCTGCAGATGGTACAGCCGAGATATTTAAATTCTTCAGTGTAGTCTATCGTTTCTCCTCCTCACTCCACTGGTAGATTATGGAAAGCAAGCCAAAGCTCTACGGTATTTTGGCACCTATAGTGCATGAACCGAAACCCGCATCGTCTAAAGCATAAGCCTATCAGGTGCTTCAGTGCCCGGGGACAGTTGTTAATGCAAAACCCCGTTTCGACGCTGAAACGCTTATAAGTTTCCGGTCGGTTCGTAATGCACGATGCAGTGAGTGTTACACGAAAGCAGCGCCAAATTTCAGGTCAGATTCTAATTCTGTTTAGAAACCGAAAACCGCGTGCATGACAGTGACAATGCCCCAGTGTCGCCGACGAGCCCCTGGCCGACAATGACGTAACTACTAAGTATAAACGGATAGAAAAGTCAAAACTTCTCTTCAGGTGAACTCGCGTAGCACAGGCATGCAGAAGACGCCCGAAGCACGGCTGGCGGCCGGATACTCACTGAGGGACGCTCTCTGCCTTTCCTTTCTCCGCCTCCGCCTCCGCCTCCACGAACGATTGCGTGATATCGACCGCCGTCTGTAAACGGTTAAACGCAAGCCGATGTACGCGGTTCTAAAACGAGCAAGTAAATCATGAGGAGAAAAATATCGATCAGAAGTTAGGAAACAGGCGCAGGGGCGTGTAAACGAACGTGTAACGAGTGTAATGTGTGTAATGAGTGAATGGCTGTAGGAACAGAACGTCATTGAACATGCATGATGACGTCGCGACGCTTTTGGAAACCTCCGGTTCCTTGCTGCGAGGCATGGCTAGGAGCGGTCGTCCAAGGCGTGACTCGATTACTGTCGCTGATCTCGTCCTGGGTCAGCGGGTATACGTCTTTCACCGGCGTGATCACCTGCCGAAACGGTCCGAGTCCGAACGTACCGGCTCCGGTGCCCTTCGGCGATTCGACGTTGTGGTACTCGTACAGTTTCGGCAGAATACTTTCGGTCTTGCGGCTGTGCTTCGGGTACACGCCGTTGTCCAGGTAGCGAGGCACCTGTTTGCGGAAGTGGTCAATGACCGCCGTGCCGGCGTGGCAGTTTGGGTTCGGTTGGGCGATTCTGGACAGGAACGTCTTCGACTCTGGGTCCATCTTGCCGGTCATGTTTGGCTTGTAGCTGACCTTCATCACGTTCTGGCGAATGGCACCAATCGGCGTCTGACCCGACTGACCGACCGCTTCGCTGGTGCCCGACTGGCGTGGAATGATGCACTCGGATTGCTTCGCCTTTTCGTGCTGCACCACGTTCGCCGTCGACACCTTGATCACGTTCGCTCGGTGTGATCCGAACGCCCTCATTCCTTTCTGTGACTCACAGTTGTCGACGTTCGCGAACATGCTCAGGAACATGTCGCTGGACATGGCGCCGGACGCGGCCGAATTCGGCTCCACCACTGGCTTCGTCGTGTTGCTCACCACCTTGCGGTGTGTTCCAAACGCACCCATGCCTTTCTGCGTCTGCTTGCACGGTCGACTCTCCCACGGCAGCACGAACGGAATCACCACCTTCTTTGGTTTTCGTTTGGGCGCCTCGTCGGCACCCGAAGCGGCCGCCGCGCTGGCCGCGGTCGTTTTCTCGTCACTCGCCTGTTTCTCATCGACCTCTTTGTCGCCAGTCGTGTCTTCCTCTTTGTTTTTGTCCGGCATCGTTCGACAGTAGACTAGGTGACAAAAAGCGACGACGGATGGCGATCACGCGTGTGCTGGGGAACGAGCTTCGACGAGCATCTCTGAACGGCGATCTTGCTGCGAGCAGTAAAGCACATCCACTATGAACTGTGAACACTGTATACGAGGCAAATATCGGCGATGCGAGGACTTGGTCAAAGTGCGTTCAGGATGCAGAGAGTAAGCACTGACGACTGAGGCGAGGAGAGGCGAGGCAATGCGAGGCAAGGCGAGACAAGACGAAACGAGACGTCGGTGTTCTTCGCTCGCCGTTCAAGAACTGGACGTTGCCGAGTTCTGCTGCAGTGTAGCTGAGTGCTGATGATGACTACACCGCGAAGAATGCCGAGGCACATCACGCGGACTCCAAACAGTTGCCGCAAGGACGAACGCGTCGCTTCTTCAGGGAGTCAAACTCACTCACAGTCAGCATCGCGCACCACACACACACACTCAAGGAGGCAGTTGTTTACGCAAGTGCAGTATCGACCAGCAGCGCCGCTCCCTGGTCGCCCTGCAGCAGTCGTAGAATTCCCTCGTCTTGCAGTCGCTCCTGCCTGAAACTAACAATCAGTGATCGTCGTCCCACGACGCTTTCTTCTACCTTGGTGGCTAGTTCAACAGCAGGCACAACGTCTGATTGGTAGCCGCTTTTTCCCAGCTTAAGTTAGGCATTGGTTCGGTAGTTAGACGAAGTCACTGACCATGTCTCTTTCAGACAGCTAGTCGTCTCGAACGATTGCCTCAGTCCATAACTTGCTATTAGCCGCGTCCTGCGGCGTGCAGTACGTATCTAAATAGCGCTGTCACAGTTC